ATGAGGTAGAGGAGAAGGAGAAAGTGGAGAAGGAGGAGGAGGAGGAGGGGGAGGAAAGTGGAGAAGGAGGAGGAGGAGGAGGGGGAGGAGGAGGAGGAGGGGGAGGAGGAGGGGGAGGAGGAACAGGCGGAGATGGAGGAGCCTGCTCAGGCACAGAACTACACTTTGGGCGAGTGGATTAGCTTCTTGCGTGTTGCGTGGATCCCCAAATTCCACATTTACTTTTGCGTCATCGTCTTACGTATTGGTTCGCCCGCCATTCGAAGGGGCCGATCGCGCCTGTCGGATTTGCCGGGGCCTCGACTTCGCTTGCCAGTGTCAGTGTAGTCAAGACTTGCGCCTCGCGAGTGGATTGGAGGATGAGCGCAAGGTGAGTCTTTCAGCTGCGGGGGGGCGCGGGCGTTTGCCGCCGCGCAGGGGCCAGGGGCAATTGGGAAACGCTCAGGGGAATGGAGGGCGGAAGGTAGAGGAAGAACGGGGGAGTGGGAGGGCAAAGCAGCGGGCCATACACTAGCCAGGCACCAGGTGTAGTTCTGTACGTGCTAGTTTCGCCAGAGACATCCTCACAAAACGGATCACTTATAGAACTACACCTAGCCAGCGGGGCGGGGTGCATGTCGGATGCCGCCACTCGCGCTCCCGACGTGTACCGCGCCCCGGCCGCGAAGTGCCGTTCTGTACGTGCCCTCTCTTCGCGAAGCATCGGCTGCCCGCGCTGCACATCGCCGAGGCCCCGTCCCCTGGGCCGCTTCCCACCGACATCCCACGTCCCCTGGTTCAGCGAAGCCAGCCGTATGCCTGGGGGCTTCGCCCTCGCGCAGCCCGCTTCCCTCCCCCGCCTGTGCACCAGCAGCAAATTCGCGATCCGATCATCCGCGCTTTCGAGTTCTTCTTCGTGCCGGATTTCCCGTCCCAGGGTGAAACGTTTGTTCGTGTTATGCTTTTTCTTGCGGCTGCCGCCAAACTTCGCCGTGAAACATGGTGATCGCTTCCAAGTTTGGCACGCAACGTCGTCGGCACGACCATCGCCTTCCATCGTAGGTTGCGAGGCGGCGTCCGTCCACCCAGACCGACCGTCGCGCCAAATCTAATTATGATTGCCACCCCTGGACCCCGCAACAAGATGCAGTTTTGCTGCGTGTAGTTGTAGATGTGTTTTGCGCCTCCTGCCGCCCAAGCCATACCCTGTAGCTTCCTGGGCCCATGGTGCCTTCGGAGGCCTCCAAGGGCCTCTAGGGCCAGCGCGGAGCGTACCGTGATGTTCTGACCTCCCGAGGCCGTCTGGGCCCTCGTGGGGCCCCCTCGGGCCCTCCTGCGGCTGCCCCAGGGGAGGAGGAGCAAGGTGCACTGCGTGGTCCTCGTGATTTATTCGTGAGTCGGGCAGTTGGCCCTCGTTGGCCTCCAAGGGGCGGATGGTGGTCGCGATGACCCGTTTTTTTTTTTTTTTTCTGCAGCACTGCTGTCGTGCTGTTCTCGTGCCTGGGCGCGGCCTCTGCCGCGACTTGTTGCCTCGTCGTCGTCGTCGTCGTCGTCGTCGTCGTCGTCGTCGTCGTCGTCGTCGTCGTCGTCGTCGTCGTCCTCTTCGTCGTCGTCGTCGTGCTGCCCCCGCCCCGTGCGCTGCGGGAGGCCACCGTGTTGGAGCAGCGCAAGCTGGTCCAGGGAGCGCCCTCGCCTGCCGCTCTCTCCGGCGCGTCGTGCCCCCGCCTCCGCGGTCCGGGCTCCCCTGCTGTCCTGCCACTCCGTTGCACAGCGGCGAATCCGGACCGTACCCTCGCCGATCAACGATTCAGGCAGCTCGGTGGGCGGCGGTGGCGAGGTGTTGGGTTCGAGATATTGTTTTGTTATGTTTTTTGTTGCTATTGTTTTTGTGTGTTTTTTTCAGTTACTTCATGTTTTGCTTGTTTTAACATAAGTAGCAATAGTACAGTATACATATTTGCTTGTCTTGCGATTTTCAGTCTTCGAGGGTCGTTTTCGGGCCGTGGGACAGTCAAAAACGGATCCGGGGTGAAACGCTGAAACACTACACCAAATGGAAACGGGGATGGGGGCCCGAGACGTCGACACAATAAGACACACGAGCACATACAATAACTAGGGTGTTACAGGAGCATATGCAGCCACACACACATGCGTATGAGCATGTACAACGAATCATAAGTACACATGGCATACGCACACATGCACATCTAGACACACACACACATCGGAGTGCACAGTGACACGCAATTCATGGCACATGATCGCATGCGATGTCTCGAGGATAGATGCATCTGTATATATACATACACAGATGGATACATATTCATATATATATACATCCATAGAGATGGGTGTGTGTATGCAATATATATACATATCTGTATGCATGACGCCAACTGCACCTCACCTATCCTGGACGGGGCCCTCTGGGATCCAGGATCGGCCAGGCCACGGCCGATGCGATGGACAGCCCGCGCCCCCCGATGCACGAGAGCCCTGGCCCCAGCGAAGCACCGACCGGGAGCTCCTCCGAGCGGCGGCAGGCGGGCGCCACACGCGAAGGGCGGGCGCGCGCACGCGCGCGCACGCGCGGCGAGCAAGGGCGCCTGCGGGCAAGCGCGCGCAGAGGCCGACGAACTCAGGCGAAGGCACGATGAAGATTCGAGTAGGGGATCGACTATAGAACAGGCTTGCCCCAAAATTGATTTCCCGTCGAGCCTACGGATCATTTTGCGTGTTTTTCTCATGGGTTCGACGAGAAGATCACTTTCGGGGTAAATCAATTCTGTAGTCGATCCCCTACTCGAAAGATGACATCGAGATGAGTTGAATCGGGGACTCGACCAGAAAACAAACGACACCCCCCCGCCAACGGCCCTCTCCATGTTTGGATGCGGGCCATCGGGGGCCGCAGCGCATATACCGCGCCAAAACCCGCTTCGGATTTCCATGGTACACAGGCAAGCCCCGTGGGGGCCGCAGGTAGGATGGTGTCGTTCGTTTTCTGGTCCAGGCTCAGAGGTCATGAAGATGCCTCCTGCCGGCCCGCTGGCTCCCAGACAAGTGCCAGCGGGTCGGGAGGAGGCGCCGAACGCCGCGGTCGTTGCAGAAGCGACTCGAACGTCTGGGAGTCGGCAGGGACTCCAACGCGCTCGAGCGAAGCACTGCTGTCATGGTGCGGAACAGATTCGATGCGATGTGCTGCCAAGAGGCGCACGCTTCCGGGACGCCTGATCTGTGCAGAGCGGGAGTTTGACCATCTCATTTGGTGGCTTGGCCGGGAAGAGTATGCAGAAGGTGGCTCCGGGGTCTGGGTTTCGCGTATCCCAACAGCTGTGAAGTCCGCTCATATCACCTTTCTATCCATCTATCCTACTACCGTCTCGGCTCAGGTATTGGAAACTGGTACCGTGCCGCTTGCCCGTGGCGCATGGAAAAAGCGATCATTACACTCTCGCTGACCTTCCTCTACCTACGGACATCTCGGTAGGTTCGACTCTTCGGTCGTCAACCTACATTCACAACAACCGCATTGTTGCTTGGCAGCACCGCCTGCGCGGATGGTCTGTCGCTTCTGTACATGCGTGCGTTCCGTAACCAGCACGACAATTTAAACTCCAGCGCTGGTTCCTTTTGCGTTTGCACGCCACGCTGCAAACCGCATGGTCCATCGTGTCCACATTTCTTGCCTGGTGATCCGAATTCCCGCCTGCCGCCGAATTTCTGCGAATCGCGCGCCTGTTGCGACGCGGTCTACGTCCCCGCCACCACAAGCAATCAACATCTATTGGTCGAGCAGTGCATCACGCCAGGCATGGTCGTTACGAACACCTCCTTGACATCGAACTTAAACTGACAAGGTGGTATTCTACTAACACGTAGGAGGAGGACGAACTCACGAAATCACGTGCAAGATGTTCGCGGTTGGGCATGTCTTGGTATTCAAATGGATTCCCGTAACCATTCTTCAGTCATCCCTTGTCTGCCCATGTCGCACACGCATGTATATGTAGTGTTAACCCTGTGCCCCCTGTAATAACTCCCGGGGGATGATACAGTTCGGGGGTCTGGCGGGGATAATCAACGATTTTCTTGGCGAAGGATGATGATGACGATGATGATAATGATAATGACGATGACGATGATGATGATGATGATGATGATGATGATGATGATGATGATGATGATGATGATGATACTGATGCTGATAATGATGATGATGATGATGATGATGATGATGATGATGATGATGATGATGATGATGATGATGATGATGCTGATGATGATGATGATGATGATGATGATGATGATGATGATGCTGATAATGATCTTAGGCGCTCGTGTAGACTGATATAACGTATGTAATTTCCAAATCAAGTCGGTCCCCATGGCCCTGCCACACGTTCCTGATTCGGGAACTTGAGAAAGTGAGAATCCCATGGCCCTGCCGCACGTTCGTGATTAGGGAAAACTGATATGGTGAGAATCCCACAGCCCTGCCACACGCTCGTGATAGCGGAAGCTGAAATGGTGAGACAACCATTGCCATGTTCAGCGTTTTTGATGTTGTTGCTAGTCAACATAAGATGATA